CAGACCCCCGGGCGAAACGGGTCAATCCTGGGCAACGCGGGAGCGAGAGAGCTGTGAGGATGCCTCAGGCGGAACGGGCCGGACCATCTCAGAATTTTGAGGATGTCTGTGTGTGCCCAGATGGTCTGGTACCGGAAATTTTCGGTAGCGATTTCGACGCACCCCGAATTTCGGTAGCGACCGGATCTTCGTTTGAGGGCGTTGAAATAGCGGATTTCAGAACGCTCTGATACCGGTATTGGGCGTTACATTTCGGTATTTCGGTAGCGACCGATCTCTGCGGAGCGCTACCGGAAATTTTCGGTAGCGGACCATCGGGGTGGGGGTCCCCCGGGGCGGAACCAGTTCTTACCACAGCAGAGCCCCAGTTAGCACGGCTGTTCGGGAACTGAGCTTTCGGAGGTCCGTGCGGATTCCTTGGATCGGCGCTGGCTCCAACTCGCGGCGCCTTCGGCGCATCTGGCGCCTCCCCTGACGCGCTCCGCGCGCCAGGGAAGGGGGCCCAGCGCCGATTCAAGAAACCATCGCGGACATCCAACAGTTCATGAGTATGTAGCTTTTCTTTGTCTCGAGGGGGATGTTGACTCCCTCCTTCCTTCTCCCTTCCTCTTCCTTCCCCCTCCCTCGTTGATAGTTCATATCCACCCATCCACCTCGACCTCTTCCTCCATCTCTGGCTCCTCCACTTCTTCGCCCTCGTTCTCATGCTTCAGCTGCTGATCATTGCCTTCGTTCTCTTCCTCCTCACTCCGTTTTCCGCCTTGTCCTCCTGATTTGTTCCTCTCCCTGCTACTGCTCCTGTTTCTCTTCCTCGTCCTCCATCTCCCTAAAAATTATATTCGTCGTCATCGTCGTCGTCGTCTCTAGCCGTCTTCGTCGTCTCCAGCCGTCGTCATCATCGTCATCGTCATCGTCGTCGTCGTCGTCGCTTCGTTCGTCGTCGTCGTCGTTACAGCCGTCTTCGTCGTCTCCAGCCGTCGTCATCATCGTCATTGTTGTGGTCGTTGTCATCATCGTCATCGTTGTCCCCCTCATCCTTCTCCCCGCTCCGCTCTCTTCCCCTTTCTCCTCCTCCTCCTCCTCCTCCTCCTCCTCCTCCTCCTCCTCCTCCTCCTCCTCCTCCCCCTCCTCCCCCTCCCCCCTCGTCGTAGTCGTCGTCTTCGCCGTTCTGGTCCTCGTCGTTGCCGCTGCCGCCGCCGCTGTCGTAGTCGTCGTCGTCGTCGTCGGCGGCGGCGGCGGCGGCGGCGGTGGCGGCGGGTTGCGTCGGCTTCGGCGTCGGCGTCGACGTCGGCGTCCTCGTCGCCGTCGCAGACCCCCTTCTGCTGACCGAGAGGAGCAGTTCTGCTGCTGGTGGCCGCAGGGGCCGGCGGAGGAGATTTGCGGCCAGTGCCTGAAGAAAGTGGCGCTGGCAGAGGCCCACTGCCCTGAGGACGCCTCGTCGTCGGGCTCTGCAAGGGCGGGGCGAGGAGGCTAAGGAGGAGGATGAGGAGGAGGAGGAGGAGGAGGAGGAGGAGGCGGAGGAGAAGGAGGAGGCGGAAGAGGAGGAGGAGGAGGTGGGAGGAGGAGGAGGGACGAGGAGGAGGAGGAGGAGAGACCAGAGTAAATCACAAGAGCAGAGATGGGGGTAGAGGAGAAGAGGGAGGGGGAATGACGGAGGATGCAGGAGGAGGAGGAGGAGGAGGAAGGAGAGAGGAGGAGGAGGAGGAGAAGGAGGAGGATGAGGAAAGGGAGGAGGAGGAGGAGGAGGAGGAGGAGGAGGAGGAGAGGAGGAGGGGGAGAGGAGCAGGAGGAGGAGGAGTGAGGACGAGGAGGAGGAGAGCAGGAGAAGGAGGAGGAGGAGGAGGTGGGAGGATGAGGAGGAGGAGGAGGAGGAGGAGGAGTAGGAGGAGGAGCAGAAGGAGGAGGAGGAGGAGGAGGAGGAGGAGGAGGAGGAGAAGGGGGAGGACCAGAGTAGACCGACACAAATGCTGGAGGGGGTGGAGGAGGAGGAAGAGGATGAGGAGGGGATTGAGGAGGAGAAGGAGGAGGAGGAGGAGGAGGAGGCGGAGGATCAGTGTAAGCCCAACACTCATCAACGACGATGCAATACACCTTTCCTCCGAGCTCCCCCTTCATAGGCCCAACAGGGTTCATTTCCACTGGTGGAATTGCTCCGTTTGGGGGACAACCGTGTGAACATCCTGAAGCGTGCCAAAACTCCATTCTCGGGATTTCCACGCCACGAGTTACCCTGAATGCTACGTCTTGGCGATGCTGAATCGCGCGAGATTGCCATTCCTGGGACTTCAACACCGCGAATCAGCGCCTCACTCCTCATTCCTCACCTTCTCCCTCCTGCACCCTCCCATTCCTCCCCCAGCCCCTCCTCTCTCTCTCCATCATCATCATCATCAACATCATCATCATCATCATCATCATCATCATCATCATCATCATCATCATCATCATCATCATCATCATCATCATCATCGTCATCATCATCGTCATCATCATCGTCATCAGCATCGTCATCATAATCCGCATCACCATCATATCAGTATCATCACTCTCATCACCATCAGCATTTACCAATCATCAAGCATCAATCATAAATGTCATCGCCATCGTTATCGCCATCGTCATCGTCGTCGTCATCATCATCGGCTTCATCATCACCATCATCATCATCGCAATTATCATCATAACCATCATCACAACCGTCATCATCATCAGTATAAGCATCAGCAGGTTCGTCATCATCACCATCAACGTCATCATCACCAGCATCGTCATCTTCATCGCCACTACCGTCACCATCATCGACACCAATTTCGGCACACCCCTCACACGTGTCGCGGCCCCACAGGAATCTCCACCTGAGGTCCCAGTGGCGCCGTCCGCATGGCGGCGCCGCCCCATGTCGGCACACCCCTCACACGTTTCGTGGCACCATAGGGAGCTCCACCCAAGACCCCAATGGCGCCGTCCGCATGGCGGCGCCGCCCTATTGTGGCACACCCATCACACGCTTCGTGGCCCCATAGGGAGCTCCACCTAAGGTCCCGGTGGTGCCGTCCACATGGCGGCGCCGCTCCATTTCGGTACACCCCTCACACGTTTGTTGGCCCCAAAGGGCGCTCCACCCAAGGTCCCAGGGGCGCCGTCCGCATGGCGGCGCCGCACCATTTCGGCACACCCCTCACACGTTTCGTGGCCCCATAGGGAGCTCCACCCAAGGTCCCACTGGCGGCCCCATTCTGGCACACACCCCTCACATGCTTCGTGGCCCCACAGGGAGCTCCACCTGAGGTCCCTGTGGAACCGTCAGCATGGCGGCGCCGCCCCATTGTGGCACACTCCTCACCCTTCGTGACCATTTATGGAGCTCCACCCAAGACCCTAGCGGCGCAGTTCGCATGGCGGCGCCGCCCCACTTCGACACAGCCCTCACGCCTGAGGACCCCGCGGCGCAGACCTAGTGCAAGCGTTCCTTCCGTTTCGGCACACCTCTCACGCGTGTTGTGACCCGCGCTGCCCCGCGCCTCGCTCTTCCTGCGGCGCGCTGCCCGTGAGAGCACAGGTTCTACCGCGTGCGCTATTCGGGGTTTGCGTGCCCTCCTCCTTCGTCTCGTCTCCCTCGCTGTTCTCGCAGCTGCATGCGGCTGTTTTTTTTTTTCGTCAGGCTTATTGATTTAAGGTGCGCGGCGCTCAGGCGAGAACCACATTTTGAAAGCGACCTGTCCTCAATCCGTAAATCTCGTGATGTAATTCTTTCGAGACGAATGCGCTCGGCGCTAAAGCGAGAGCCACATTTCGCAAAACACCCGCCCTCAAGCCGTGAAGCTCTTGCAACCGTTTAAGGCACATGTGCGCGGCGCTCAGGCGGGAGTCACATGTTGAAAACCACCCGCCCTCCATATGTGAAGCCGTTGCTGTGTTTCAGTTTCAGAGTGAAGACGTCTCAGGCGAAACGCCCGGCCCACGGGTGCGATCGGCCCGCTCTTTCGATCGGCCTCAGACCAGGGCGCCTGTTGTAAAGGATCCTCCCTCTACTTGAAGGACGCGCAGGGTAGTCCCATTTTGAGAAGCGCATGCCCTCCAGCCGCCAAAGCGTTGCAGGATGTCAAGTCCGTAGAGGTATGGTCCTCGGAAGTCCCACGCGAGAGCTCTTTAAGGACGCCCAAGGATAGCCTCATTTTGAGACGAACCTGCTTTTCATTCGTCTAAGTGCTGCAAAACTGCAGGGTGGCAAAGTCGTGGACGTATGCTTCGCGAGCGTCTCACGCGAGAACCCCGTTTCGAAAGAGGAACCGCCCTCTATTCGTGTTAGCTGTTGCACAATATGGAAGGTCTAGTCAAAGAGGTCGAGGAATCGCCACGTGAGTGTAGATAGTGAACTTTGTTTTCGAATGTGCGCAAAGCCAACGGGAGACCCCAGTACGGTGGGGGCGTTCGTTAAAGAAAGTACCCGGAGGCTGCAGACCCTGGAGGATTCCTCCTCTGATGAGGGTCGCGGTGATATCCGTGGCCGATTCACGATTGGAGTTCCAACGGCTTCCAGACCCTGGATTCCTTGTCTGAGGGTTCTTTGTGGAAGCCGAGTATGCACGGCGCCGGGGGGAGAGCCCCTTTTTGAAAACGGCCCGCCCTCTGTCTGTTCGCTGGTCGGGTAACACGATGGTTTGCGGCGTCAGCCAAGCGAAAGCCTCATTTTGAACACCGTTTGTGGTCCGCGCGTCAGGGCGATCTGAAATCGTTTGCTCCTTGAGGCCTCCTGCGGCGACGAGGACGATGAAGATGAGGATTGGGATGCCGATGCTGCTGGTGGCGACGGTCAAGGGAGGAAAAACCACCCGGACCCGACATCTGACGTTTACTGAACGGCCCTGGGCAATTACTACACAGCCCCGCCCTGTTCGATCCTTCGTTGGGCGCGTTAGCTAAGCGGCTTGGCTTGTCGGGGTGAGTATTCAGGGGGGGATTTTCTGTCCTCTAGACAGCGAGCCTGGGAGCGTTTGGGGAGGGATTGCAGCGTTTGGGAGCGTCTGGGAACCGTCCTGGAGCGTCCGGGAGCGCCTGGGGCAGCCTGGGGAGCGCTTGGGTCCCAAATCGGCGTCGGCGAGGGGCGCTCGAAACGTTTTGATTTCCAGTGGAGACCCATGCCGAGAAACACCTTGCTTGCCTCCAGGGTGCCGTGGGTTTCTTGGGTTTGGGTGGTTTTGCCACGGAAAGCGTGACGTTCCAACACCACAAATCAATGGACGTCCTGGGGTCTCGGTGTTGGGTTTCTTGTGGGGTCGTGCTTCTATTGCATTGATTGATCATGTATGTGCCACCTTTTGCAGGTCCGTCGTCGCCCCCCCCCCCCTTCACCCGCCCTTTCAAAAGGGTGGGTTGGGGGTTCCGACCCCCCCACCCCTCGGGCTCGACTTTCGAAACCGCCCCTTTCTCGCTCTGCTCGCCGCGCCGCCCCGAGACCGCCCCCCCTGCCACCCCTACCTCCAACCCTCAACCTAACCCCAGACCCTAAACCCAGGCCCATAAACCTAGCCCCAAAGAGTATTCGATACTCACTACCCACTACTCACTGCCCACTGCTCACTACTCACCACTCACTACTCACTACTCACCCCTCACTACTCTATACCCACTGCTCACTCTTCAGTACGCACTACTCACTGCCCACTACTCATTACCCACCACTCACTACTCACTAAACATTTAAATACTCACTACTCACCACTCCCTACTCCCTACTCACGACTCATTACTCAGTACTGACTACTCACTACTCTCTACTCGCTACTCCCTACGCAGTATTCACTACTCACTACGCACTACGCACTACTCGCTACTCCTTTTCTCGGTTCTCGCTACTCAATACTCAGTACTCACCGCCCACTATTCACTAGTCCCTCTTAACTTCTCACACTACACATTACCCATTACTCACTACTCACTACTCACTACTCACTACGCACTACTCTCTACGCACATTACTCCCTACTCACCACCGACTACTCACCACTCATTGATTAGTAATCACTATTCACAAATCAAAGCTGCCCATTCACTAGAACCTACTCGCCATTCACTACTCACTACTCACCAGTCACTACTCACTACTCACCACTCACTACTCACTACGCACTACTCACTACTCACTACTCACTGCCCACTACCCACTACTCGCTACCCACTTCTCACATCTCATTTTGCATCACTCCCGACTCACTACCCACTGTTGACTACTCACCACTCTCACTACTCGCTACTCGGTACTCGCTACTCACTACTCATTATTACCTACTCCCTATTCACTACTTACTACTACCCATTACTCGCTTCTCATTCCACCTACTCGCTATTTCCTATTCGCTATTTACTTTTCACTACCCTCTACCCTCTACTCACTACTCACTACTCAGTACTCACTACTACTCACTAGTC